ATCCTGTGTGCTGTCCCAATGTCATAGCTGCCAATCTTCCCAATCGATGATCAATCAAAATACGCGGTGGCAATGTCGATACAGTGAACGCATCCATCGACCAATCCCGAAACACGATCAGATCACTCGTGATCGGTCGATTGATCGTGTGCGCCCTGCCGACGTTATCACCGCGTGTGTGTTTTTGTTTTTTTTTGTGTGTGTGTGCGTTTGTGAGCTCCTGCTATATTCAACAGATTAATCACGAAAGCTCCGATCGAACACGTGGTGGCAATGTCGAGACCACACACGCAATGAACCGACCCATAACGAAACATAAGCAGACCACTCGCGATCAGGTGATTGATATTGTGTGTTGTCGCAATGATATCACCCCTGATCTGCCCAACGATGATTAATCAAAGCACGAGGCGACAATGTCGGAACTGCAAACGCATCCAACCGACCAGTCGCCAAACGCCAACAGGTCACTCGCGATCGGTCGATTGATCGTGTGTGCTGTCCCGACTTTGTGACTGCGTGTGTGTTTCGCTCGTCTCAATGGCAACATCAAAACACACGCGGCGATGTGTGTGTTTGTATGTGTGTGCGTGTGCGTGTGTGTGCTGTGTGATTACCATAACCTCTTTTGTGTTCCGGTAGGCGATGTGCGTGTGCGTGTGTGTGTGCGTGCGTGTGTGCGTTCTCCCACTTTTGGCGAGCGACCAATCCATCAAACTGGTTGATAGACGTCGACCAAACAGTCGATTGGCCAAGATATCTGTCAGCATCAACTGATTGATCGACTGCTCTGTTGGCGGCTGGTCGACTAGTTGATCAACCAGTCCACCAACCGCCAACCGAGCAGCCGATCAATCAGTTGATCCTGGCAGATCTCCTAACCAATTGACTGTTCGGTCGAAGACTATCAAAAAGTTAGATAGATCGGTCGCTCGCTGACCAGTTCATCAATCTCTGGATATTGAAGCAGCGTCAGCGAGCGACCTTTCTGTCAGTCGATTGATTCACTCTTCTCGTCCCGATTGCTCTTCATTCGACCAACGGACAAATCCATTGTTTGCACACAATCCACAAGGTAATTGATCACGTTCACGATCGAAACCCGCAAACGAATCAAACAACCGATCGAAAAAAAGGTCGATCCCTATCCACAAACGGACAAAAAACACTTCGTCACAACCTTATTGCACATCGAACCTTGTCGGCCATCGAACCTTGTAGGCCATCGAACCATGTTGGCCATCAAACCTGGCTCCACATCAAAACTCGGCGGGCATCGAACCTCGTTGGACGTCGAACTTTGGCGGACATCGAATGCCACCGAAAGTCGAACCTCATCGGTCATCGAAACTTGCTGGTCACTAAACGACGAACGTTGAGCAGCCACCACACCACGCATCGCCGGCACAGTCTTCGAAACCGAACTTCTTCTGCCGACCGATTTCTCGATATGTCAAGTGCGGAGGTAGACATGATGACGACCGGGCTTCGATGAGCAGTTGTGACAACATGTGAACCCCGGATGCGGGTGAGCTTGTGCAGTTATTCCAACACGTGGTGCAACCCCGGTCCGCAACCACAGCCGAGGACTTGTAAAAATTTGAAGTCCGCCGGGATCCGAACTTCAGGAAAGTATGGGACGGCGAGTCTGGCAGACAGGTGTGTCTCTCCCACGCAATTTCGCCAAGTTCGGATCCCGTCGAACTTCAGGTTCCCTCCTTTCGCAAGACATGTTTGCGGCTGGCCTGCTGGCGTGTGGATCCGAACCTCGCGTGCACGGTTCCTCGCACAATCGTCAAGTTCGGACCCCGGCGAACTTCGGATTGGTAAAAATGTGAAGTCCGCTGGGATCCGAACTTCTCGTGCACGGTTCCTCGTACAGTCGTCAAGTTCGGACCCCAGCGAACTTCGCTTTTCGCATGGTGTGGGTTCAGAATGCGGACTTTCTGGCGCCCGACGGATTGCCACAACTTTGGATTCGTAAAAATGTGAAGTCCGTCGGGATCCGAACTTCTCGTGCACGGTTCATCGTTCAATCGTCGAGTTCGCCGGCTGTGTCTCTCCCTTGCAACTTTGCCAAGTTCAGATCCCGGCGAACTTCAGGTTCCCGCCTTTCGCAATACATGTTTACGGCTCGCCTGCCGGCCCGTGGATCTGAACCTCACGTGCACGGTTCCTCACACAATCGCCAAGTTCGGACCCCGGCGAACTTCGGATTCGTGAAAATGCAAAGTCCGCCGGGATCCGAACTTCTTCAGGCAAGGGGGGCCGACCAGGGATTGTGGTGCCGGCAGGAGGGGCTGCGTGCGTGGAGCAAGAAGGGCATTCATCGGAATTCGACACAGGTTCGGCCGAACTGGCTGGATTGCATGCAAGGGAAGAAGGTAGGGTAATGGAAAAAGAGAAGGAAGGGTAGGAAGGAGACAAAGGGGAGGAATGGGAGGCAGGAGGGGATGAAGGGGAGGAAGAAGAGGAGGGAGGGGAGGAAGGAGAGGAAGGGCTAGAAACGGAGTTGGCTGGGTTGTTCGGAGGGAAGGAGGGGGAAAAAGGGGAACTCGATACTGGAGACGACGGACGGACGTTCCACGACGACGATGACAGATCTGGGGAGTCGTCTGATGGATTCGGGTAGCTGTACGGAGAACATCGTGAGGAAGACGACAACGACGATGACACGACACTGGATATGGAGACAGAGGTGGTCACCAGCCTTTCGGCAAAACCTAATGACTATGAGGTCCAAGCAATGACGTCTGCCGTCGATCTTTAACACCGGTTCAACGAGGCTCGTGTTGCTGTCAGCCTGACTAAACCGAGTGTCTGTATAGACGTCGAAAAACTTCTCGATGGCATCTTGGGCGACCACCACATGTCCGAGCAGCCATCCTCGACGCCTGATGTCGACGACCCTCGCAACGTCAAACCTTCCGCGGCATCTGTCGTGGCTTTCTTGCCGACGAACTCTCCGATACTGCCGCCGACCATCGCCTGCGGAGGGGAAGGCGAGATCGGGGGACGACAACATGTCACGTCCCCGAAAAAAACTGCCACCGGCACTCAAGCTCTTGACGTGCTGGCCTTGCCCGCGCCAACTTCACCGATGAAGGAGCGGAAAGACAAACCAGCTAGTAAGATGTGACAAACGTCACTCTGTCTGCGCGCCTGTGACCGCAGTGTCTGTGGACGCGGGGAGTTCCTGATGCCGGCATACTACAGCCACCACTCCTTCAAACTTCCAAGTACATGTGAACGACCATCCTGTGAGTTGGTCAGGTCACTGGTCGTGTGCAGGGCATACGAGACAAAAACATGTGTATTTTTGTTGAAGCGTTCCGTCACATAATGGAAGGATGGTGTTTCTTTTT